CACGTGGTGTGACCTGGTAATCGATATCGTTTTCTAAACATTTTTATTAAAATGAACTTTAGAAAACGATATCGAGCTAATAGCTACGAATCAAATTATAATTTTGTTGCACAGTTTCTTTTACGAAAATGTTTGGATCAAGTAAGTATATTACAAGTTCCACACTTATCTAGATTTAGAAGATTTACAAATCTTATAATAATTTGGAATATATTTGTAATAAATTTTCTGTACATTACTAATATTGTCTTTTCAGGTATTTTTATCAATTTTACAGAAAAATTGGGAAAGGAAGGAATATACCAAAATTACTTATAAGAAAATGAATTCAAATTGTTCAATACCTGTAACCTAAGTGTATATAATTCCCTGTATAGATGTGTCGAAAATATATTCTGAAATACGAAAATAGTATAACATCTGATATTGCAGTGATATAATTTAGGACATTATAATAAATCATCCGATACTTATTAAAGCTTTGAATAAAAATTTGTATCAAGATAAAAATTGAAACTGGTATTATTTCCCTATGATAAATTTGGTACATATGGCGGCGCATCGTGTTGCGTTGAATACGATCGAGTGAAGTGTTGAATATTGCAACGAAAGTTTTTACTGTAAAATTGTGAGCTTTTGTAATAACTAAATAAGGTAAGAATGTAGCAAACAATGTCTTGTATTTTCATATTAATTTTATTATTGTGCATTTATATGTAACAAACTGTTTTGTTGTCATAATAGGTTATCTTGTTTTTACGTCCTTGGCATCAAGATGCTGAAAGTGTAACTGACAAGTACCATTAGAAAAATCTGATCGATGAAAAGGTAAACAATGTCCAGCAGCAGTTCTGAAAGTAGTGACGATAGTCGTCACGAAAAATCACGGAGAAGACGTAAACATAGACGCGACGAGAGCCCTAACCAAGACAGACGATCAAACAGAAAGGAATCAAGCAGCAAGAATAAAAATTACAGAGACAGTAGAGAAGGTAGGGACGTTCATAAATTTAGCAGAGACGTAAGAAGAGAAAATAATGATGTGCATCGTGATAGATCGCAACGCGAACGGGATAGGGAATATAGGAATAGTCGACATGATCATCCAAGGAGAGACGATGACAAACAGAATGACAGGAGAAGGTTTGAAAGATCTCCCTTGAGAAGAGAAGAACCTCGTTCAAGGCACAGAGAGTATGAGGAAAAAGGAAGGAGGTATAATAGGGATGCAGCTGAACACAGAAGATACGATGATAATAGAGAAAGGAAAAACACTTTTGAAGAATCAAAAATGAGAAAGGAACACCCTTCACCAGAATGGGGTAAACCAAATGTGAAAACAGAACCTAAACCAAAGCCTCAAGAAAAGGAAAAACCAAATTTTGAGTTGTCTGGAAAATTAACAGAAGATGCAAATACTGTAAATGGAGTAGTCATTAAATATTCTGAACCATCGGATGCAAGAAAACCTAAACGTAGATGGAGATTATATCCCTTCAAAGGGGAAAAAGCATTACCTACATTGTATGTTCACAGACAATCGGCATATTTGATGGGTAGAGATCGGAAGATTGCTGATATTCCTTTGGATCATCCTTCGTGTTCAAAACAACATGCGGTTTTACAGTATCGTTTAGTATCTTTTCAAAGAGAAGGAGGTGGTGAAGGAAGAAGAATCCGCCCTTACCTTATAGATTTAGAGTCTGCGAATGGTACATTTGTAAATAATGTAAAATTAGAACCTCGAAGATATCACGAATTACTGGAGAGAGATGTATTACGTTTTGGATTCAGCTCTAGAGAATATGTCTTGTTACATGAACACAGCAAAGATGATTCCTTAGACGACGATGTTCCCTTAAGTACCACAAATACAACAACTACTGTTACTACTACTACTACAACTACCGCATAGGTAACACAATTCTCAGTTTTGTAATATTTTATGAATATATTACCCTCTACAGTTGAAATAATTTCTTATATTCTTTATTTCAGGGATTTGTAAAATATTTGAACAAAAAATCTTTAAGTAATTTTAAATTCATTAACAGTATATTATTATCGTCTATTAAATATGATTGTAAACTTAGCGTCACTTTCCTTAAGTTATACAATAAAACAAAACTTATTGCTATTCTTAAATAGAGCATTTATGACAGTACAATATTCACTGTAATAAAGATCTTTAATTCTTCGTAAAAGAATTTGTCATTACACAAGTTTTACATTTTGTGTATGTTAGTGACAAAGATTCATTATAATAAATCGTTTGAATTACATTGCAATTTATTCATTTACATTGAAAATTTTATTTACCCCAAACTTAAATAATAAATTTCATAAATTGTGTGATTTTATACCAAGTAATATATGTGTGTGTTAATATAAATGTGTATGTATAACATATACAAAATTCATACAATTATTACTTCTTCTGCCGTGTATATTTTTCTAATGTGATGTTAAAGAGTATTTACAATAGTTGATTCATTTTTAATTAAAATTTATTTTAAGGAACTAATAATATTCAGACCACATACGAGAGCTTCTTTAAATAGAAAGACTATAAAATATTTTAGAAAACTTGTCACATAATTTTATTGTGTAAACGCATTTATTTTGTATTCGTAACTAAATAGTTTAAACAATTTTGTCATACAAAATTATCAAAATATAAGAAAGTACCCAAATTTTATTGCTACAGTATATTTTGTGAATTAATTCTTGAAATTTGGATACTTATAATATCGTTCTAATACTTTTTGATGAATGAAATTTAAAAAAATATTAAATTTATTCGATAGTAAAGTATTTACAGTCCTCTTCAATATTGATAGTGTCCAATGTATAGATAAAATTTTAAAATACAAGTTTAGAACACTATCAGTTCAGTCATATACAATTTAATATAATCGAAAATGTATTATTCTTAATTGTACTATTCTCATAAGAATCACTAAATTTATACATAAAACTTAACAAATCCTTACATAACATGAATATCAATTTCCATACTTTACCCTATGATATCACCAAATATGAAATTTGTACAATGAACAGTGAAAATTTGATTCATACTTTTACGTCATTAAATAAATACATTAGTTGCAATAACAGGTATAAAACTATCGCATCTTATTTTCAATCACTTTATAATACTCTATACCTATTCTCGTTTCTTAGGTGCTACAACAAGTCAGTGATTAATAACTAAAACTGATACAGTTACAGTTAAAAACTTTCTGCCACAGTAAACCTATAATTAATGGTACGTGTTAAACGTTAAATATGTACATACATTAATATGGCAGTTTAAAGCTATGGAACTTCACACGTGGTTTCAGTTTCATTGTGCAGGTATAACTGAAATTACAGTTGTGCTTTAACGACATTAATCCTCCTCATCTTTAACAACAATCTCAAGATCCATTCACTCTGACAGCGTCTGTATTAATATTTGTGTACGTGACTATATTGTTGCCATCTTCCACAACCGGCGTTTGCCTTAACAAATTTAATAATGCACTATTTATCACCAAAGGTATGTTAGCTTTACCATTTTGTAAATTTGAATGAGTCCTTTGAATTTTTGGTAATGTGTTTTTTGTGACATTTCCATCATTTACCATAGTTTCCCCAACTCCACCGATGACACTGTTCTTCAGTGGAAGAACATTTTGTGAACTAATTAAAGATGAGCTGGGTCGCGTGGGTGGAGCTAAACTGATGCTCGAGCTTAAAGAACTAGAACTTCTACCTTCTAAACTTATCTCTGATCCTCGTCGTTCCGCCATGTTTCTTTTATTCTTCCTCTGATCAGTCAGCGACGTGAAAGAGTCTCTCTTCAAGATTGCTTTAACAGTAGGTGTTCCCGACTGTGCAATGTCTGAAGCATTCGATTTATCAGTCATACTCGTGATCGATGCTCTTTTACGCTCAGGTAAACTCAAACTTGATACAGAAGACCTCTTATCGCATTTCTTTCCCACTTCTTTAGCGTCGCTCGAATCTTTTTGCTCCTGCGGAGGATCAGACTGCAAATTGTTCTTTAGATCTACATTTGTACTAGGTTTAATTGCATTATTCAGGTTCTGATGAGAGATATGAATTGACCGAGGCACTTCGTATCCGTTCGTCGAATTTTCCCTTAAAATAATGTCTTCGTTATCCGCCAACAGCTCCAGATATTTCGGTGTCTCGCTGGACTGCGATGTGAGCGTCGCATTATGAGAATTCTGAAGGAACGGCTGCATGTCTCGACTGCCTTCGGAGCTGCTGGATTTCCAAGAGTTTCCTGAGAAAATCAGTCGATCATTGACATCAATTTCGTTGGAGAATCTTGTCACGAATTGTGATGAAACATTGATAGAGAAAGCAGCATGATGTGTAAACCTACCTGAGTTATGATTTTGATTCTCGTCGGCAAAGTAAGCCATGTTAGACACGCCTGCAAGCATGAGCCATGCAATGATAAATATGTATTCAAGCAAATTGTTAAATTTATACAGATGGATGATTTAATTATTACTGTACAGCATACACTTGCTATTCAATGTTGAGTTGAATATTTGCATTAATTATTAAACTTGCATTGATTAGTAAATGTATTTACTGTACAAGCGGTCTTCAGATCTGATAAGCGATGTGCTCGATAAAAGGTACAACGTATCATTGACAATTTCATGCCAATAGATTCGCATTATGCATTGAAATTAGCTCTTACCTCTTCTAGCCAAGTAATGGCCAGCGTGTACCGGACTTAATGGTGCATCCTCTATAGTACTACGAAGGCTAACTATGTTCTCCAGGCAAACTTTAAAACTGGGCCTAGCATCTGCCGCACTCCAACAACGCAGCATCAGCTGATGAAGGACAGGTGGACAGTTTAAGGGTTTAGGCAATCTTCCACCTGCACGGACGTGGTGCAACACTTCAAGATTCGTTCTGGCAGGATATGGCTGCTGTCCTAACGACGTTATCTCCCACATCAAGACACCGAATGCCCAGACGTCACTTTGGGAGGTGAATACACCGTCCACTAGTGATTCTGGAGCCATCCACCGAACTGGGAGCAATCCTTCTCCTTCCTGTACGGAATTATTTATATATTGAACATATTGATTCGTTCAAAAGTGTTAGAGTTTAGAAAATTTGCAATATTGCAAGTCAAGATGTAATTACTACTAGGTATCATATTATGAGATATGATCATATTACAAATTACCTACCTTTAAATACTTACCTTTCAAGGTGTAATTACTTCTAGTTATATTGTGAATTATTATCACATTATGAAATATGATCATATTACAAATCACACCTACCTTTCTATAATAATCGTTCTTGTATATATCTCTGGCAAGTCCAAAGTCACCAATCTTGACAACCCGGTTCTCCCTATCCCTGGCAGACACCAGACAATTTCTGCACGCGAGATCTCTATGTACAAAATGCAGTTCCTCCAAATAACGACATCCCCGTGCCACGTCCTCACACATGGCGAGCAAGTCTTGCAAACGTAAAGCATGTGGATCCGATGGCTGCAGCGATCGGCTGGCTCTCAAATAACTTAATAAATCTCCAGCTTCCATCAGTTCCAGCACCAGCAATGGTGGGTCCGTGTCCAAACAAACTCCCAGAAGTCTGAGCACGTGCTTATGTCGAAAATGACTCATGAGTCTGGCTTCTTGGAGGAACTCTGTCTTCTCCTGCGCCGATGCTCCCTTTCGGAGAGTCTTTATGGCAACCGGCGTGATACCTGGTCTTTCCAAATCTTTTGCGTTACCTTGAAACACCTGCAAAATTTTAAGATAGAGGTTCATCTCTTTAGTGTTAAAATGTTTGCTTAATGTTACTAATGTTGGTTAATACTTACTTCTCCAAAGGCTCCACTGCCTAAAAATTTCGCTAGTGTTATTTGCTCTCTGCGGATTTTGGGAAGCGTCGAGTCGTCAGAGTCTGTTTGCAAGGTGGACGCGTAGAGAGCGTTGGATTGAACGAAGTTTCCTCTCGGTATTTCGCGTAAGGTTGCCAGCTCTACGTCGCTCACTAGCGGAGGTAAAACCGCCTTTTTGTCTTCCTTGCGTTGTCGATAAAGCGCTGAATTGCAAAAGGTTTTTATCTGACGAGTTTTATATTGCAATTTTTGCAGAGAGTCTAACACCCTCCTAAAATTACTTGAAAAGAAGATATGTTCTGTCATAAACTTACGGCAAAGAAAGTAACAAAAGCAGATGAGCATAATAGTGATAACAGGAACACTAAGTCCCAGCACCAAACCAAGATGTTGTTGCGCCGCCAATATCCCTCCTGTCGTTTCCGTCAAATCAATTATGGGACTATATCTGCTCCAAGCACCAAATCCGTACGCGTTTCTTGCTTGAACCCGAAACCGGTATTTGTCGTCCATGTCTCCGGTAATTATCCAGTAATTATCCGTTCCATTATAGTACAACTTCCAGCTGGCATTCTCGCTGGAATCAATTTGTTCGTTGATCTCGTTTATCTTCATTCCTTCTACACGGTATAGAGTGATTTGCGAGCCATGGGCTTGAGCGGGTTCCCAATTTAATTGATAGACGGAACTACGGAGTTTTGTTACTGTGGGCATTCCTGGTGCACTTGGTACATCACCTGGACAAAGTGGAATGACTTATAAAATCTGGGAAATGATATTATCTGAGAACTGAAAATTTAATGAGAAACAGGATTGCTCTAAAATGGGATTCTTCTGAAATTACAAACTTAAGATGCAGCCCCACTGTTTCGCCTCTTTAATCTAACTTTAATACCAACTATAATCTTGATTAATTTACCTAATGTTTGAAAAGTGAACCTCCCATCAGCCGGCCACACAAAGTCCTTCGTATAATTAGGATACCTCAAAAGCAGCCTAAACTTGTACAAAGTCCGTGGTTGCAGCTTCTTGATAAAATATGTAACCTTGTGTTTATCCATTTTAGAGTCGTTCGCCACTTGCCAGTCCTCCATAGCGACATCCTTGTACTCCAAAGTATACCTGATCGTCAGATTAACAGTAGGCTCCCACGTTACATTCAAACTATTCACATTGACTCCGCTCAGCGTCAGATTATTAGGCTCCGGGTACATTTTGACGGACCGAACTTCGCTATCATTGAAGACATTATTGAATTGAGCAGGATAGGCACGAACGAAGACGTGATACTCCTGATCTGGCAACCAAGGCTCCAGCATGCTGTAGAATCGACCATCTGCCGTGCGTTCGTTGCCCTTTATCAGCTGCTCCCCTTTCTGTCGTGCTCCATTGATCGGTCGAAACAGTCTCCAGTGAATCTCGTACCTGACCGTCGCAGCGTTTAGTATTCTGGGAGGCATCCAGTATACGATGGCCAAGGTTGGCGTTAGCGCTTCGACGGTCACGTTTTCCGGCGGAGTGGGAGCTCCAGCTCCGGTTCTGAGCACCACTCCGGACCCGAACTCTAAGCTCATCGACTCTAAGTCAGCGTAGTAGTTGCTCAAGGCCAGCTTCAACCTGTACTCCGTGAACGGCTTCAGGTTCTTTATCTCGTACTTCGTCTCATAGGTCTGCAGCTTCGTTCTGTTAGTATCTTCACACATGTTGGGATCGTTCTCCAAACACTGAGACACGTATATGGTGTACAGCGTAGTTGGCAAGTTGTACTCCTCGCACCCATATTGGGGAACAGGTCGAGGCAGCCTGACGGTGATGCTATTCGCTTCTTTCTTCACTTCTTCGACATTGTACGACACCTGATGAGGTATCAGGCAGTTGGTAACGGGATAGGACTGCAACGACTTCCCTAGGGCTTTGATGCTGCGCACGGTTGGCAAATAGAAGTGCTTGATCTCTCCATCATCAGGGTACTTCTTGTTCACGAAGTAAATCTGGTCCTCCGCCATGTTGGACCAGTAAATGTTCATCTTGTCGACTGTTAGCGAGGTGGGTGGTAGCCCTTTGTTGAAACTCGCGCTTACTATCGAACTGCAGACGCAGCCGTCGATGTCGGCGATGTTCAGGTGGCCTTCTAGAGAGACCCAGTACATGACGGGCTTCTGGAAGTTGGTGCTATCGATCGTCATCACGGAAATCACGGTGGGTTGGTATGGACACGAGCAGTCGTCTTGGTGGTTGAAGAACGGTCGTCTGCCTTTACCGTTCAGGTCTGACTGGATGATCTCGCCGGTGTCTTTTTTCGTTAGTTCTATCCAGTATAATGATCTGTAAGAACAATTTGTAATTGTCAAGCAAGGGATATAGAAGATGCAGTATAATTTCTTCTAAATAGATGCTACTGTGACTTCATGCTCTGATGCTACTGAAGATGCAGTCTAACATATGGACATGTAACTCTGTTCATCTGCAAGTATAATTTTCAACTAACTCCTGCAAAATAAAATGCAATAATTACCCCGTAGATGGTAAAACGTCCAGATTCACTATACGTCTCCCAGACGCAACGATGTTCTCATATTTAAGAATGCCCACTTGCCAGGTGGTCAAATCCAGCTTCATAATACGACCATTATTATCCCGATAGTTTGACTCCGACCAGTACAAGTTTCTCGCTACCCAATCCACAGTTATACTCAGAGCACTGTTGCTCAACGTCAACATCTTTGTAGCATTTGCTCCATTCAACTCCGACGTTACCAGCTCTCGCATCTCGTTTATCCAATAAATTTTGCTCTCTGCCGCCAGGTACGCAACCTCGATCGCAATGTGCCGAGTGATCGTGTAATTCACCTCCTGATCCAGGTCTGACACTCTAACAGCGTCCGAAGTGGCTACTAATAATTGTGGCACTGGGTTTTCGTAGATCGTGGAGATGTTAATGACATCTGTGTATGGTCCCGCACCGATTGCGGTGTGTGCTCTGACTTGGAAGTAGTAAGTCGTGTTTGGGAGGAGATCTTGTACGGTGTGCTCCAACAACGAGACTGGGATTAAGGATTGATCGCAGATTTGGATCTCTGAGTGGTTTTCTATGAACCAGCATTGCACCGTGTAGCCGGTGATCAAACCGTTAGTGAACTCCGGTTGGTCCCATCTGTAAAAACAAATATTAATCTTCAAGATATTTAAATGGCTCACTTAAATCACCCAGTCTAATTTTTACCTAAAGATTGCAAATATGTCAACGTTTTCGCTCAGCGGTTCTTTATGGAACTCTATGAACGCTCTAGGATTGGTCGGCTGAGTCGGTACACTTTGAGGCGATCTCAATATCTTCCTAGTATGATGTGCAGTTTCCCAATACGTGAACGCCTTCACCGTCACTTCCAGAACCGAATACGGCAAGATCTGCTCCGAATTATTATACGGCATCGAGGTCTCCGTCGTGATCTCCGGATTCGAGTTAGTGTTAATATAATCCGCGAATTTCACTTCGTAGAACACAGTCCCGTAGTTGATGTTCTCCACAGGGTCCCAGGATATGTTGAAGTTCCTCCAAATCCCTTCGACTCTGATGCTACTGTAGTTGACCGCGTTTGGGAGAACCACTACGGTCTCCGATGTCAGGTTTTTTGGGTACTGATGAAGAGCGGGGTCCATAACGGCTACCATGTGAAGGCCTGATAGAGTGATGCCGTTTATGACTGCGGTGTTTTGACCGGACAAGTCGCCTATCACTGCGTTTCGATCATCTTGGAGCCAGAGAAGGTGTTCTGAAAAGTAGCATAGAGGGCCCTGCATGTTGGGGTGCTGCAGAGCTGAAACCTACAAACAAAATAAATTCATGAGGAACATTATTTAACATTGCATATTTAAGTGTTTGGTCCTGTGAAAAATAGGCGTCTCAGATCTCAAGCTAATATCAAAATTAGATGATATGGTGATAAGGTAATATTGCACTGAACTAATACATTATAAAGAAAAAGTTTGTAACAATAACCTTTTCAGGCACAATTTTGTGGCTCATTGGAATCCTCTCAGAAGTCGGTGCACGATAGACGATCGATCCACTCTCATAACTCCGAACAATCCAATAAACGTATCGATTTTCCGTGTCCAACGTTAGACCCATCACTTGTTTGCCGTTGAATATCTCATCAGAATGATAGTATCTCCTGTCCTGTCCGTTCAAACGTGCCACTTCGACTGCGTGTCCTGTGGACCAATATAAATACGCCTCCAAAGAGTCGATCATCAATTCCTTCACGATAGCTAGAATCGACATGGGCTCCTGGTGAGATCCATTTAAATCCGCTCTTGTAATCTAGAAAAATATAAAGTATGGATGGTGAAAAATATAAAGTATGATTAAAATGGATATTTAAAGTATGAGTCGATGTTGTAATTACAATTTGCTGCTTTGGATTAGCCCAGTATAATTTCTTCGACAGCCAATCGACGGCCACGCTGCCGACAGAGTGAATGTTCATCTTCATTTTCTGATGGCTGGTGATGTTGTATCGATACAACACCGAATTGTTTCCCACGATGTACAGAACATCCTTGTACCAAGTGACGTCGACGATGTGGTAGTCCGTCTCTGTTTCTTTCAAGCTTGCTTTGTATATCAGGGTGTCGATGTTCTCTCCGGTTACGTCGCTTCTTAGGAGACCTTCGTTCGCGGACCACAAGATGGACGCGTGCGATCCGTCTCTGAATGTGCAATAAAATATGAAAATATTAGATGTATATAGGTAATAACATTAACGCTAAACCTACCAGCATGTGTGTACTTAATTTGAAATTAAAAATGCAGTCAAAAAATAAATAATCTAACAATGAAACATACATTAGTACACACATGTGTTCTTTACCTTGATGAAAATCAATTCTGATTAGTACACACAAGTATTCTTTATCTTGATGAAAACCAATTCTGATTAGTACACGCATGTATTCTCTATTTTGATGAAAATCAATTCCGATTTCAAGAAATATACTTTAACAAAATGTGTACCTTATAACAAGAAGCTTGTGGAGTGATCATTTAGTAGTTTTAGCGTTAAAGAAAATGAAGAGTTACCTTAAAGTTTGTCCTCTGAATTCCGTGGACCACGGGCCTCTCCCCGCGCTCGTATAAGCAGCCGCCTTGATCGAGTACTCCGACTTCTCCCTAAGATTATGCACAGTATGCGACGACCCCGCGATATCTTTCTGATGGATCGTCTCTCCCGTGGACTCGTCCTTGATCTCCAGCTCGTATGACCAATTCTGCCAAGCACCCTTGCCCTGGCCGCCCAACAGATGAGGCGCTTGCCAGGAAACCTTAGCCCTCTCCACTCCAAGAACAGCTTGAACTCCCGTAGGAGGATTCACCGGAACAGGAACGGGCTGGCTCGCATCCATAAGTACATTGACACTGACAAATGAACCGTTCGACCTGGAAACACCTCTATTGAACAATCTGTGCAAGGTCTTCCACCAGCATATGAATGAGACCTCTCACCTATCGGGATAGGCATTGTGAAAATATCTGTTCTGTCCTGAATGGTATCCCTCTATCAGTACTTCCTCCCCGTTGGTCCAGTAGAATAGACCGTTCGCCATTGCTAGGGATACTACGTTCTTGAATTTTGGTTGCTGAGTATTCGCTCGGAGGTCCAAGACTTCGCGACCGTCCAGCGAAACTGATATCACGGTGTTCTGGATGTGGTGGGGCACGAGCAGCCGGAAGTTCGTGTGGTCGACGGTGAAGGCTCCCAGGTGAGCGTCTTCAAGGATTAAATATGGCTGAACCTGAAGGTAGTTGCTAGATTTTTATACTCTGGTAGCCAAAACTTTATGCTTAAAAGATGAGACGTGTATGTGAGAGTTATGTTCTGAAATTTTATAGATCCTCTGAATCTTACGTTTGCAAAGGAAGTCTTGAAAAGACATTCGTTGTTCGTCACTTAGTAAATGAATTAATTCTTCAATTTATAGACACGTTACATCTATTTAAATTTCTTCTAGCTCCTCCAGATTCTTACTCAAATTAACCTTACTAAAATTACCGTAACATAATGCTGTTTACCCTAATTGAAATCACTTATCAGCCACACCTATAAACCTACCTCGTGCTTCACTCCGTTGCTAATGTCAGCCAGATCCAATCTGTACAAACCGCCCCTGTTGACCCAGAACAAGTATCCATTGTACGGGTCCACCTCGATGTGAGTGGGTCGCGTCAAGAAACCAGCGACCGCCACCGTCAGACCTCTTCCATCCAGATTGCATCTAGCTATCTGCCAAACCGTGGTCGCGTGCTTCACCTCGCCCAGAATATACAAATGAAGGTTCAGCCAGTCAACCGACAAGCTCAAGGGTTTGAAGTTCGCTTGACTCGGGCTTAGAATGACCGTAGGTTTCGTGCGTTTCGTTATGGAGGTTCTATAAACGTATCCCATGGAGTCGGAGACGAAGAGCTGCGCGGAGGCTACGTGAATCGCGACGCCTCGAATGGTGCTCGTGTTCTCGTAAACCACGCTGGGGTCGTCGAGCATGTCGGCATCCTGCTTCATCACGACGTGTTGTCCTCCCAGAATCAGTATTGGTTGTTGAGTGTCTTTCACTGAAATGAGGGAGATTAAATTTGCTGTTTTGACTTTTGGCTGAGATGGCAGTACTCTTCTTTGTTACTTCTTTGTTAAGTACTCTTCTTTGTGATATAATGTGGATGTATAGATTAGAGTTGTAGATGGGCATAATTTAGATATATATTTGTTAGTGACACTTGCAGATTATAGTTAGCGTCTTTATTTTGTAATATGTTCCTTCTCAAACTTTAGCAAATTTTTTAAATTTCTTTCAAGTTCTTTCAAGTCCTTTGCTTGGATACAATTCTTTGGGTCAGTAAAAGATTTTATCTAATAAAATACGGTGTGATTTATTTAACAAGTGGTACTTCTATTGCCTACTTCCATTATCAGAACCGACTGCCATCTCCTCAGCCACCTTTTCGATTAGAATAACATACCAGCTGGTTCCGGGGTTGTTGTGATGTAAATGACCGCAGGAGGCCCCTCGCCCACTCCGTTCCTCATGGTCACGCTTATAGAATAATTTTTGTTCGGTTCGAGGTTTTGAAACATGTAGTGATCCGTGTTCTCTGATGCCGGTATGTCCTGTCGATTGTAAACGACGTTAAAGGATCTGTCACTTGTGCTCCCTTTCGATCCCTTGCTAGGAAATCAGTATGCCAATAGGGATAGAAACGCCATGCCAGAAACGTGTGTCGCGGAAGATCTGGTTCTTACAAGTTAACAAGCCGATGTTAACGGGATCATTATGTTAGCGTTAATCCTTTACAGTCCAGTTGTCTTATATCTAAATGTATTAGGTTTTTTCGGTAGAATTTTTTACGGTCAATTCTGATCTGCAGATTCTGTTTAATTAGTCTTGGGTCTGGGAGGCACACTTGGACCGTAAAGAGTTAATGGATTTGCGATAGTACAGTTATTTAGAGTAATGAGGAAGCTATTAGAGCCGCTACTCGAAATTAAGGCCAATGTAAGTGCGGTACGGTAGACTCTCGTTATATCGCCAAGTATGAGACTGTTAGAGAATTTTTGCAGTTGGAAATATAGTAAAGTTTTGGAACTTGTAGAGGAACATCAACCGGTAATATAACGAGAGTCTATCATATTTAATATTGAATGAATTCATCTGATAGACCACTTGTTTAAGCTGAAAAAACTGCATATTTTCTTTCACATCAAATATATTAATTGAAATGACTATAGGTTACAATTTTACTTAACATACAAATTATCTTAAATTTAATATATTATATGTATGTGATCAAATAAATTACACATGTAAGCAACTATGCAAAATTTTATCAGCTAGACAGAAAGCATGCGTTCTCCATTAGACATGCTCTTTGGCATTTTACCTATCAAAGTGCATTCTTACTCGGGAAAGGTGAGGAATCTTGTAGAACCAGTTGATATATCGCACAGTGCTGTCTGCTACAACAGTTAGAAAGAATAGGAAAGTGCTATTTGCGTCTACGATAAAACGCTTTTAGTGAAGATAGCTTAGAATCGTATACATAGCTCGAGTAGCTCAAGCGACAAATTTGGAAATACAGAAAATCTGACACGATTACCACAAAGTAGCACTTTGCAAAATGTCATTTCGTGTTACTGTGTCATCGAACCATGTCAGAGTTTATATACCTCGAAACCTGTCGTTTAATAGGCAGCAACACAATAGAAAGGATGATCGACAGAGTGGTCAAGATAAATTGAACTGTTCGAATTATTGAAGTTCTGGCGTGGCGTGTACCTTAAGCTGGGAGTAGTCAGCCCCTTGCAGACGCAGGACATAAGACAAAAGTGGCCCGTTTGGAAATGGGCCTGGTTCCCAAGACACAGAGACACGGCAGCTGTCTACCACCGCCGCTCTTACAATTACCGGTGCTGAGGTTGGTAAACCGTCTGCTAGCGTTCGTATCACGACGCTCGGAGCTGAGACTATCGGCTCGGGATTGTGTTGCGACGATTTTAGAAGCAACGCTACGCGAAACTGCAAGGTATAAACAATACTTTATATCAGAAACCGTAGTGAAGCATGTTATTCACTTGTGAATGTTCACAAGTTTTTAACGCTTCGAGGGGTGCACATTTTATGAAATCATCAAAAGGTATTCGTCATATCGCTCTAAAAGTAAAATCAGTAGTTTGGTGGAAGACCATTGTACATCAAGTTTATTCTATATCAAGTTTATTCTACATCAAGTTTATTCTGCATCAAGTTTATTCTACATCAAATTTATTCTATATCAAGTTTATTCTACATCAAGTTTATTCTACATCAAGTTTATTCTACGTCAAGTTTATTCTATATCAAGTTTATTCTAGATCGAGTTTATTCTACATCAAGTTTATTCTACATCAAGTTTATTCTATATCAAGTTTAATCTATATCAAGTTTATTCTATATCAAGTTTATTCTACATCAAGTTTATTCTACATCAAGTTTATTCTACATCAAGTTTATTCTGCATCAAGTTTATTCTACATCAAATTTATTCTATATCAAGTTTATTCTATATCAAGTTTATTCTGTTTGAGGGTAATTTCAACTCACCCTGTACTTCGTGTATGGCTGCAAGTTTTCCACCAAGATTTGGTCATCTTTCCCCCAGGACTGATTTCTGCAGTATTGCCAAGTTTCAGCCAGCTCTTCGTACCTCCATTGCACCAGGTACGAGATGCCTCCTCCACGTCTTTCGATGTCTATTCCCTTCCATTCGAGTCTCAGAGAAGTTGCAGTCAGCGAGTCCGCCACCAAAGCTGGTGCCGGTGGGATGCCTATTTCCGCTGAATCATTAACAAAATTATATTTCTGATGACCAACATCTACCTGTCTATGTCCTTACATGGAATTTATGAGACATAAAGTACTCTCATCGCAAATAGGTAAAGAATAACTGATATGAAACTTTCTTGACGAGGTACTATTACCATATGCTACAATGTGGATCGTTTGAGGGTCATCAAACTTAATCAAAGAACCACGTAATCTAAAATACTACTTCGTTATACTTGATCAACATATTCGCTCAAATAATATTCGATCCCCTTGTGGTACTATTACTTCATATCAGATAACATTGCTCATACGTAATAAATAATTACGTATTTTTTAATATATCTAATAAAATTTCTTCAGCTACTTCTAAAACATCCTCACTATATCCTAATTACATTGAAGTTCAGTAAAGATCGATTAAGCTACTAACTTCACAAGTCCCCTCATAACCGCATTTCTGCAATGAACATCCATATCGAACGATGAACATTTCCAAATCGTTGTAACCGAAAGTATGAACGTAGAACGGCAGCGCGCGTTCGCGGAGTACCAGAAGATCCTCGACGAGTTGAGAGCCGCGTTCCTGGATCGATGGAAGGTTACGAAGAACGACAACGTTTCGATGAAGGACTTCGAACGGTTCCGAACGATCGGCACCGGTGCGTTCGGCCGGGTCCTCCTCGTCAAATACCGGCCGACGAACGCCTTCTACGCGATGAAGGTCTTAGACAAGGCGAAGATCGTCAAGATGAAGCAAGTGGATCACACGCGCAACGAGAAGAGGATACTGCAGTGCGTGAAGTTTCCTTTCCTCGTTTACATGGAGTTCTTCTTTAAAGACAACTCGTACGTGTACATGGTGTTGCCGTTCATAAATGGCGGTGAGATGTTCACGCATCTGAGACGGATGGGAAAGTTTGATGAAGGTTTGGCGAGATTCTATGCTGCACAGGTGGCTCTGGCCTTGGAATATCTTCATCATTGCAGTCTCGTGTACAGAGACTTAAAACCGGAGAATATTCTGATACAGAACACGGGTTATATTCGAGTGACGGATTTTGGTTTCTGCAAAATGATCGACGGCAGAACGTGGACGCTATGTGGCACTCCCGAGTACCTGGCACCGGAGGTGATCCTGTCGAAGGGTTACGGGAAGTCGGTCGACTGGTGGAGCTTCGGTGTTCTGATCTACGAGATGAACGCTGGCTACCCGCCATTTTATTCGAGGGACCCCATGAAGATTTACGAGAAGATCGTCGCGGGAAAGTACAAATTCGCGCATCATTTCGGGGAGGAGCTGAAGGATATTCTGAAGAACATACTGCAGGTGGATCTGTCTAGACGATACGGGAACTTGAAGGGTGGTTCCATGGACATCAAAACGCACAGATGGTTTCAGTCGACGGACTGGAATCAGATTTATCACCAGAAGATTCAACCTACTTTCATACCGAAGTGCTCAGCACCGGACGACACCAGTAACTTCGATCATTACGAGGAGGACTCGTTGAGGGTGGACGCCGTTGACCGATTCGCCAAAGAGTTCGAAAATTTTTAGTGGCGGGAATAGTTGACTGTGATCAGTACATGGTTCTAGTATTCTACTAGTACTCTAGTATTCTATTCTTACCTTTCAACTGTTGGAAGTAACGATTTAGCGCATCGTGACAACCCAGAACGCAATAGAGTTCTTTGGGTGGCAGCAGTTCTTGCGTTCCATTCTGTAAACAATACGATTCGATGTTGCAGGCTCGTGTAATGAACGGAAGGAAATATGTAATGTTTTAAGCAGTAATATTGTTCCAGTATTATACTAACGCAGACAGCTTGACAGCTCGTGTCGAGTGCTCGTTGCCACGCTCCACAGCCCTTTGTGCACTGAAACAGATACAACGTTCGTGTGAGATTACACGATATTTTTAAGCTTTTTATGCAACTGAGTTCGTGAGATTATGATTCAATCGAATCCCTAGCATTATACTTTTTATATTCGTGTGTGAATTAAAGAAAATAAAACTTCGATCTCCTTACAAGCTTCATTTTCTCATCTATCATATTTTTTTACCACCTCATTTCTATCATAATTGTTTACCACGTTATTGCTGCAATTATTATAGAAAATATAAGCATTGCAATTAAGTCTTTCACTCAGGAACGTAACATAAAATTTACGTTATTATTAGTGTTTGCAATTTTTTAAGGGATCTGTCTTTTTAAGGGATTGCTAAAGGATCTGTTTCAACCATTTTGTTGTGCTGCACGAAAGTAATCAAAATACCGGTGGGTTCGATTGTACTGAATTTACGGTTGGAATTTTGAAAGTGGGTTTAAGTGCCAAGGGATAAGTATCCCAAATGGACAAAGTACTTTTCAAAGTTTCCTTTATCTTTCCCTCACAGTAGGATAAGGAATACCTACTACAGTTTTTCTAGTTTGAACTCGAAGCAGATATATCTAGCATAAGTAACAGATACCGAGACACAGTTTCCTCTTACGTAATGTTATTTGTCCAGTTTTAATGATCTTGATATTACAATACGAGTTTTTTGACTGAACTGAAGACCTCGTATAATCTTCCTGACATTATGATAATACCTGGTGTATTTATCACAGTATCTGTCAACGTAAGTTTAAAATATTTTAACAAGTAACGGTAAATATAAAGGAGAGAATATCTGTCTATATTTCTGAAATTACCAGAATGAAACTGAAAGGTTAATCTCTTCCGAATGTCGAGCACGCAAGTACTATTTTGGCATTGAAGCAACTGGAACGTCCACGAGACAAGTCGTGGTCAAGAAGACGAAGAAGAAGGAGAAGGCATGGCACGTGCCCTCAAGTAACGCCCACGTTCATAAGACGGTCGGTCGGTGTTCGTGCCGAGCATGGATTTGCGAACCGAAGTTTAACGCATTAACTTTCTGCACGAGAGGATGTGGGCATTTGTCGGCGACAACAACCCAGTGGACGTGAACGAAGGAAACGAGCCACGAAAGATACATCTTTCCTTTTCTTTAAGATACAAATCGTGACATTCTTCTTACACAAATACATTCTTAGAAATTTTTTATTTTAACATTTTTAAAAGATCAATTGTTAAGATTGTGGTGTTAAGAAATATTTAAAATAAGAAACAATTAACGAACGTCAGACACCCTTGTCACAGCTGCTTGGACTTGTGTAACAGTATAAAACGTTCCTTTTATAGCTAATTTCAGTTTTGAAAGAAGGAAGTAATCTGTTTTTAGATATTGTTTGTCAAATAACAAAATGACTACAGAATTTAAAATAAGTTACCATAGTTATTCAGTTTGCAGGGCTTACAGTCCTACGGAGCTTGTTCATCGAGGTAAATAAAGAATCCGGCAACGACCTCAAGAACATCTTGAAACAGAAGCAAACGTAAATACACAGAAGCGATCGTCCACTTGAAGAACTTCAGGAAGACACAAAGAGAGTTTGTAGCAGATCTTCATCGAGTAGGTTAACTCTTGGAGTGTACGTATACATCTTTCAGCATGGTAGTGGATCAATCTGTTCCACTCGCGTTTCCTGTTCCAATTTCTATCTTTGCCTTGTAGCAAGTCGGTAATTGGTATTTAATCGTCCTTGACGATGAACGAGAATCTCGTTAGGAATGTTCGCAAGTGTATCCATTGTCCGTCGACAGCTGCGACTAGTAAAATCACAATTTCAACATCGTGTACCGACATACAAGAGAGCCATTTACCAATTGTCAAGCTGATCGACACTCGGCCGCGTTCGAGAGGCGCCGCACATGAATGATACCCCTCTCGACATTTTAGAATAATAAGCGACCCGGGGAAAGCTTAATTCGTCGGGATTAATATGGTGCACCTGCATCGAATGTTTCTCTTCTGCTTTTGAACGAACTATTTTTATCTATCGTCAATCTCAAATTTATTTGATGATGAATGTTCAGTTTAGATAAGTTACATTAATATTTGGACTGCACCTCTGTATTTATCGTTTACAAAAATATAAACTTTAGATTGGAAATCATTTGTTGTAGATTGGTAATTCATTATTTCTAATGTGTGATGTTTGTCTTGAGGATCAAGTTAAAAAGTACTTATTATAAATTGTATTAAATGAAATGGTAAGTCATAAGGATCTTTGGAGTACAAAGGATCGTTAACCCATCTCCCAATACGTGACAAGTGCAGGATTAAAAAGTATAGCGATTCTAGTTAAAAGACAACATTAAGTATAATGTCTGTTTCTGAGTTTTTTAAATAAACGTAAACAACAGTTTGCCAACACGCAGTGTCAGTGCACGAGAACGGTGGTATTCGAGGGTATCACATAGGTCAGATCGTCGCAAAAATCAAGAAGGAACCTCCAGTGTTAGATAAATAAGTTATTAATATACATTTGGTGGCAGTCTAGTTTTACGATCGTGGTTTAAAGCATTGTAATTACGCGCGACATCGACAATCAGTTTCGACGTTATTCTGTTGGGGTGCAACTAGGCTTTCTTTGCTTCAGAATAAATGTGGGGAACATACAACTCACGGATCAAGTATGTACATTTATAATAAATGCATGTATAACAAATTTATAAATTCTCCTAATTCCTAAATTTTCAAATTTTCAAATATTCAAGTTTTCAAATTTTCAAATATTCAAATATTCAAATTTTCAAATTTTCAAGTTTTCAAATTTTCAAATATTCAAATTTTCAAATTTTCAAATATTCAAATTTTCAAATTTTCAAATTTTCAAATATTCAAATATTCAAATATTCAAATTTCCAAATTTCCAAATTGTAAAATTCCTAAATTCCCAAATTCTAATTACAAAATCCCCAATTTCTCTAATTCCCCAATTCCTCAATTCCCTAATTCCCATATTCCTTAGTTCCTCAATTCCCTAATTCCTCAATTCCCTAATTTCCCAATTCCCTAATTCCTTTAATTCGCTGCCTAATTCCCCAATTCCCTAATTCCCCAATTCCCTAATTCCCCAATTCCCTAATTCCCCAATTCCCTAATTCCCCAATTCCCTAATTCCCCAATTCCCTAATTCCCCAATTCCCTAATTCCCCAATTCCCTAATTCCCCAATTCCCTAATTCCCCAATTCCCTAATTCCCCAATTCCCTAATTCCCCAATTCCCTAATTCCCCAATTCCCTAATTCCCCAATTCCCTAATTCCCCAATTCCCTAATTCCCCAATTCCCTAATTCCCCAATTCCCTAATTCCCCAATTCCCTAATTCCCCAATTCCCTAATTCCCCAATTCCCTAATTCCCCAATTCCCTAATTCCCCAATTCCCTAATTCCCCAATTCCCTAATTCCCCAATTCCCTAATTCCCCAATTCCCTAATTCCCCAATTCCCTAATTCCCCAATTCCCTAATTCCCCAATTCCCTAATTCCCCAATTCCCTAATTCCCCAATTCCCTAATTCCCCAATTCCCTAATTCCCCAATTCCCTAATTCCCCAATTCCCTAATTCCCCAATTCCCTAATTCCCCAATTCCCTAATTCCCCAATTCCCTAATTCCCCAATTCCCTAATTCCCCAATTCCCTAATTCCCCAATTCCCTAATTCCCCAATTCCCTAATTCCCCAATTCCCTAATTCCCCAATTCCCTAATTTCCCAATTCCCTAATTCCCCAATTCCCTAATTTCCCAATTCCCTAATTTCCCAATTCCCTAATTTCCCAATTCCCTAATTTCCCAATTCCCTAATTTCCCAATTCCCTAATTTCCCAATTCCCTAATTTCCCAATTCCCTAATTTCCCAATTCCCTAATTTCCCAATTCCCTAATTTCCCAATTCCCTAATTTCCCAATTCCCTAATTTCCCAATTCCCTAATTTCCCAATTCCCTAATTTCCCAATTCCCTAATTTCCCAATTCCCTAATTTCCCAATTCCCTAATTTCCCAATTCCCTAATTTCCCAATTCCCTAATTTCCCAATTCCCTAATTTCCCAATTCCCTAATTTCCCAATTCCCTAATTTCCCAATTCCCTAATTTCCCAATTCCCTAATTTCCCAATTCCCTAATTTCCCAATTCCCTAATTTCCCAATTCCCTAATTTCCCAATTCCCTAATTTCCCAATTCCCTAATTTCCCAATTCCCTAATTTCCCAATTCCCTAATTCCCCAATTCCCTAATTCCCCAATTCCCTAATTTCCTAACTCCCTAATTCCCTAACTCCCAAGCTTTCTTTTAGTATACAAATCAGAACCCAAAAACTGCGAAACAAAAGCAAGAAAGATTTTCCCAGAAAACGCAATAATTTCCACGAGGAAAAAGCTCGAGTTCAAAATACGACATTGGCTCACTGTTATCGGTACGAGAAAATAAAAAAAGAATTAGATACAAAAGAAAGGAATCCAGACAGGCACACTTATCTATGCTATGCACGTTCTAACAACCGAGGCGACGATAATTTTTAACGTCTCAATTAATCATATTTTCTCCGTGACATTTCATTGCTTCGGCCATTATCAAACAAGATCCCCTTTTTCAATTAGTTCGCACGAAACGCAGCGTTTCTTCAATGCTATATTCTTCTAACCGTGCCATTCGATTTCATTGGCCGGTTAAAGCGGCGTTTTTATTAGGCTATTTTTTATAGACTTTACAAAATATATTGCAGATATATAAAATAGTTTGTGAGTATATAAAATAGTCTGTGAGTATATAAAATAGTTTGTGAGTATGTGAAATAGTTTGTGAATATATGAAATAGCTTGTGAGTATGTAAAATAGTTTGTGAGTATGTAAAATAGTTTGTGAGTATATAAAATAGTTTGTGAGTATGTAAAATAGTTTGAGAGTATGTAAAATAGTTTGTGAGTATATAAAATATTCTGTGAATATATAGAATAGTTTGAGAGTATGTAAAATAGTTTGTGAGTATATAAAATAATTTGTGAGTATATAAAATAGTCTGTGAGTATATAAAATAGTTTGTGAGTATATAAAATAGCTTGAGAGTATATAAAATAGTTTGTAATTATATAAAAAATTTGGTGTACCTAAGTACATATATAAAATGTGTAACTCTTGAAAAGTATAGGAGAACCTCTCCAATAATACCAAAAGAAAATTCCTCAGTAACGTTTAAACAACTAATATTACATAGAAAATGGAATATTAATATTGTATTTCTGTAGCATTCACATGGGTAACGTTTTCATGGTAGTCCTCAGCCGACGCATCTTATGCGGTTGAAATGTAATCAGTAAGGGTTTAAACGAAACGAGGAGAGAACGGATAGATCCTCGTCCGTATAAAGATCTACGATCTACGGGGAGCCAAGTAGAGCGAGGGCCAGGCCTGGGGCGTAATGCGTGTTGAGGTTTTAATGAGGAAGTGAGAAATTAGCGGGCTGCAGCGTCGAGCCACTGTGCTTCAGCCGTTTTCCATCGTCTGATAGTTTTGTCAACCCCTATTATTGTTGTTCGTTGTTCGGTCGTCGGAAACGAAAAACGACCGTTTAACGAGCTTACATCTATCTTAAAACGACGTTGGTATGTTTCTTGTCTGTCGATTTTAAGCTTATTTAAAACCATTCGCTGTTAGCTAGTTTGTATTCCAAATTATGGTGAAATTTAGGTAGCCATTTTGGTTGCACTTTAAATATTCCATCATAAGTTAGTCTATCAATTTTAAGTTTACTTAAAATCATCCACCCTTAATAATTAATTATTTCGTCCTCCAAATTTTGGTGAATTTTAGGTAGCCATTTTGGTTGCACTTTAAATATTCCATCATAAGTTAGTCTATCAATTTTAAATTTACTTAAAATCATCCACCCTTAATAATTAATTATTTCATCTTCCAAATTATGGTGAAATTTATGTAGCCATTTTGGTTGCACTTTAAATATTCCATCATAAGTTAGTCTATCAATTTAAAGCTTACTTAAAGTCATCCACCCTTAATAATTAATTATTTCGTCTTCCAAATTTTGGTGAAATTTATGTAGCCATTTTGGCTGCACTTTAACATGTATGTTCTATCATAAGATTAAAAAATTAATAACAAAAATTTCTTTTTTCAAGAAATTATCCAAAGAACCTAAACTCTGTATCAATGCTACTGTCTTCTTCATCGGTCCCACGGTAATTTGCCCAGTGGCAAATACACAGTCACAAAATGCAAGAGCAGGCCATCGATGTCTATATGGTTGTTTACAGAGACAAGAGGGTAGTCTTGAAAGTTTCATTTGCACAAACTGACTAGACAACTTCTGGTAGACCGGTAGCCAATGTCGAGTACCTTCATTTGTCACGAATGTCCTCGATGGTGGTCTTCCACTTTACGGACATGTCTGGATTTCGGGTACTTTCGCCAGACAGACATGTTCTCTCTCGTACTCACTTGGGTTTGTTTGTATATTACTTCCGTGTAGACTACCGGATATATATATTTTCACCGGCTATTTTGTTTAACTTTTACGTAGTTTCTTATAGTGATTACAATGTAATTACGAAAAAGTGAATAACTAAACTAAATTACTAAAATAAATTACTGAACTAAATTAAACTAAATTAAACTAAATGAATAAACCAAGTAAAAGATCCTTACGGAATAAACAAACATGAATATCACTACACAAAATGCAACTTCGCACACAAAATTTTTCCTTAATTTTGATATGCATATAAAACCTTCCTGTTCCCATTCGAATCCGTTACAGACCGCTCCGTAAATAATCAGTACAAAAGAAATTCCACGAGTATCGGTTGGTCGCTATCGAGCCATGAAATTACCGGAAGCAGCGTCAAAGCTGAACCTCATATAAATTTCAACTCTCGAAATTGTCGAATAAAAATTCGTTCTTGTAAATACACGTCACGTCTTTAATTTCCTTCGCAGTATAAACGTTCTGAAATAGGTACATTGTGAACACGAGCGAGAATTTAGCCGCAAAATCGCCGGGATTAACGGAGGAGGGCAATTAGGGTTGCGTTTAGCAAAAAGTAGAGCGTCTTCCTCTCGAATAGTGTCGGCCGCAAGCTAACCGTTACTCGTCCGCGTTATGTACAGTCATCAGCAAATCTGATTTGCAATGGATAGAAACTTGAAATACAGTGAAATATTTACAAGTACATAGGGAAACTAGGGAGGAAATCGCTTATAGCGCAATTTGCCTATGAATGGTATTTGTGGATTTACTGCACGCAACTTTGTGTCACGAGGATGTTTCGAAACTCGCGTGATGCGATAAATAATAGTTTCTTAGACAGGAAGAATTACGAAAATGCTGGTGTATCAATTACGAAGCCTTTGTATCAATACCATGCAATACTTTCTCTTAACACTAGATTTAGCGTTCATTTTTCTATCTCGCATTTAACATAAACTTTGGCTTATGAACTTGTTTCAAAGCTTACGATAAAGACGCCTATAATTAACAAGGTCCACCCAAATATATATTTTTAAATTGAAAATAAAGTAAATACCGAAGCATCAACTAATACAGCTATGTTAAAAATACGTCATAGCTCAACAGAATATGAGGACACCATGGTAATAAATTCTGTAACATGAAATGTGAAAGTTGAATGAGTCATTTTGGCTGGTTGATGTTTGCACTATTAAGGAGCCTGTGGCTCAAGATAATTATAAGCACAGAAGTTCTAAAAATTTAACGAAACTCTAAATCTTGTTAAACTCTCGGACAATAAAGTAACTCTTATTATCTTATATATCTTATACACGTGTTAGCACGTGACTATGTTAAAAGTAACATGACGTTATACAAATAATCACTAAAGTAGCAGTATCTCATTTATTAAAATACGTTATTTAAATGAAAGAAAGGTGGCTATTAAAAGTAATAAACCAGCAATTTTGCCTAAATAATAAACGACAAAACGAAGGTAGCAATCAAAGCCGTAATGCTGCTCAAATCATTCAGGAAACTACAGTGCTGCTTAAAAAGTCGCGTCCCTTTTTTTGGGAACAGTAATTAAGTGTATCGTAGGGCCTTTTGTCCTTTTCGTCGCGTTAATTACAGTTCTCGCTTCCTACCCTGGAGACACGCGTTGCTGGATATCCTTCCGGCCACACTAGGGGTCCTTTCTTTTTCCAAAGGATCTTTGTGAAAGGGAACGTGCTAATGATCGCCTACCGACTTTGAAATCTCGCCAATTTGCCTCCTGGACAGATGGTCCCGAAATACTTCAAGGCTACGAATCTAGGACGACTTTCTTCGTGAACGTTAGATTTAACCGAACATTTAATCTAACATTAAATCTGTTTAGCATCTGTTTCTAACATAATCTGTTTAGTGAACAGACCATGTATATTGTTTTCTCGCTCCAACACATAGTGATTCAAAGAACGAAAGCAAGACGAATAGCACCACCTTTGAAATAAGCGACTGAGTTGCTTATTTCGAGGCAATATTGTGCATCCAGCCTTGCAGGATGTTTCAAAGCAGGAAGCAAACATTGCTCGTTAAATGTCCGCGCTTTTCCTGCGGTTTTTCGGCCAGACTTCCGGAACGGGGCCAAATAGGAGACAGAGCAATGGCGCGGAAAGAGAGGAGAGAACGGAGAGAGCGAATCCGGAGTCACACGGCAATTTGGCGACATCCGCCATAGGCCGCACTTGTACGCGATCCAATTTAAAGTCACGAAGCCGTACGAGCCCAGCCATTCTTTCATTCGTACACGCGTAATACGTGTATACGTCCATTCGTCTACCTATATGTACGCAACGAATAGAATGGTAAAAGGGATACGGGGGTGAAACGGAGACGGAGAACCTGACTTTGTTTTTATTTGCCGTTTACCGTCTCTTTAGCGGAGAGCCAGTGGACGGGCACCCCGGAGCCCGGGGACAGCACCGGAAGTACTTTCATTGTGCCTGGGGACCGACGTCCCTTTATTTTCGTCTCCGACGTTCGCCTATGTTAATAAACGATACTTGCTCGTCGGACTTGCTTTAAATTTGCTAACGACGTTAGAATTGTGGACTAAGTAGATGGATAAGTACATTAGTCGGTGAATTAGAGGACAATCGATAAAACGTAATCAAGTTTTTTTGCTCCTCTTTTTACTTCGAATAATGAAGAGTAGTTGAGTGAATTCAATATGTAAATCTAGTTTACAGATTTAGTACAATGTGTCTTCTTACCTGGTCGATCTTGCATCGTACTCCGCATCCCACTTCTGAACTCAAGTCGTCCGTTCGATTCTAAAAAAGAAATGACAGAAACTTTACATAAAAGTCAATCAAAAATTAGAAATACTAGAAATGTAATATACACTGTATTTCAGCTTGCGATTCATATAAAATTGAATCTACAATAAATGCAATGTAAAGTGCACTGCTATTAAACATAACAGGTGACACATTTTCCCTCGCCGAAATATGCAAAACATTTCCGCGTTCGACTAACGGCACGATGATTTAAATTCATGAATGACAATAGCATTCTTGAATAAACATATCGTTATGGTAATTAACAGTTTGCAAGTACTAGTTAACTCCCGAAATTCCCATGGAACGCATGGTTTCACACCCTCATTTCGAATTGTTCGCAACCCTTATTCCTTTCGTTCTCTCTCTCGTATTATCTCTGCACTTTTAACGATCTTCGTTTTCATTAAAAGCCGGATGTACACCTGCGTACCGGAAGAACCTAACGTACAGGTGCAGACAGTGTAACCGGTATCGAAAACGTGCGTCAGGATTATTCGGCGATTCATTCGCGACAGGCTAGGTACGGGGGTGTCAATTGAACCGGATGAAACAGTTTACTATCTTTTAAAGCTGGCAAGCGATTCAATTTATTTTCTGCGGCCCCTGCACGTAACGAGACCGGACCGTTACCAGCATTCGAATAGCAATTTTTTTATCTCCTCTTGATTGTGGCAAGGTACTTCAATATTGCAATTTCTATGGTGTTAGAAGGTGACGAGGGTGCAATCCGTAGATGGCGGTGTAGAGGTAGAAACGCTAGAGAATTTAATATTGAAAATAACATTCATACGAGTGCACTCTGTCAAAAATAAATATTTAAAAATTACAAACTTTTAAATATTTAACTCTTAAACTCTCAACTCTCATATTTGAAAATTTTCCAATCTCAGGTTCGAAAAAATCTTTCAACTTCTTTTACATTAAAAGTATTTATTTTTACAGTAAAAATACTGACTGAAATTTTAACTTCTCCCCAACAGTAATAACCGAATAATTTTGCACCCCAAATGTCACCTAAAATCGACTCCCCACAACCTAACTTAACAATTAAATATTAAAATGTTCTTCCGCCACGTGAAAAATCATGTACAGAAAATGGAGGTTGATTTTACGTAAGGAAACGTTCAGTGTTTTCCCAGTTAAGAGAATCTGCGACGAATGACGAGTTCTCCGATAACGAAAGCCTCAGAGGCGGTTGCAGTGTTTTCGCGGCTATCGCTTCATGCCGTGGTTGTATCAATTTTACGATGAATTTTTTTTCCTTTTCTCTGTTCTTTTCTCCGTTGGTTCAATCTCGTTATTCATTCCTTATGCCGGCTGACACGACGCTCGTTTAACTTTGCACCCGATTAATCAAACACGCCTAGACTACCATATGAAACACGTACCCCTGCGACATATTGCGAACTCTTCGTGCTAGAATATTCCTGGCAATATTCCTTTCGGAAATTTCTCTGCAGACGCTTTGTGCAGCGTTGTTTGTGTTCCTCGTTTTTGATTGCGGTTTGTTTTCTTGACCCCTCGATTATTAATTTTAACACTTCGTTGCATCGTTGAAACATTTAAGGAGCTTTGATAACTAATGCGTTGATATGTGAAGTATGTGGACTGGAGGAATGTTTTCTTTTGTATGGCAGGAGGTAATGTGAGCTTCAGTGAGTAGTTGATTTCTCTGATACTGTGATTAGTGAAAGATGTGTAGATAGTTTTGAAACTTCGTGAGAACAAGTATTCTAAGAATTAATTTTTAAGTTTTACTTACAGTTTTGTGAGAGAAGGAAATTTTAGTTATAATTTAACATTAAGTGATTAAAATTGTATTTAATAATAATTGTAATAATTGTAATAATTGTAATAACTGTATCTAATAATAATTGTAATAATTGTAATAACTGTATTTAATAATAATTGTAATAATTGTATTTAATAACTTGCAACTTGTATTTCTTTCTTAGTGCCACAAAGAGCATCAACGCATTCAAAATGGCTTCCGTTCTCGTTAAAAGCATCGTCGGCGCCAGTCATTTCAAAAACGGAAATCAGCCGGTAAAGAGCCGCTTTGTCTGATCTAAGGTAATCGTCTAATGTGTACATGCTCGTCCTTCCGCACGTCCTTCCGTCATGTTCAACGTCTTTGTTACGGTTGAGAGAGTTCGCCAACTGTTGCACCTCGCTTCCGAGAGACTTCAACGCCGATGATTGGGCCTAACGACCGGTCTTTTCCCTCCAATTCGATGCACGCAACGCGATTTTTTACGTAAGCTTGCTTTCAAGGCTTAAGCAGAATCGTGAATTTTATCCTTGAAACCAGTAACGGCTCGTAACACTGCACCCCGAAACATGAAACAAGTTGGGGATGTGCGTTATTTAATTTAGTGTCAAATATTATTCTGATGTGATATGTCTAGACAAAGAGGTACATATATGTTCCTCCATCTTCAAATAAATATCAAAGAGGTACATACATGTTCCTCCACCTTTAAATAATTATTAAAGAGGTACATATATGGTTCTCCATCTTTAAATAATCATCAAAGAGGTACATATATGTTCCTCCATCTTTAAATAATTATCAAAGAGGTACATATATGTTCCTCCATCTTCAAATAAATATCAAAGAGGTACATACATGTTCCTCCACCTTTAAATAATTATTAAAGAGGTACATATATGGTTCTCCATCTTTAAATAATCATCAAAGAGGTACATATATGTTCCTCCATCTTTAAATAATTATCAAAGAGGTACATATATGTTCCTCCATCTTTAAATAATTATCAAAGAGGTACATATATGTTCCTCCATCTTTAAATAATTATCAAAGAGGTACATATATGTTCCTCCATCTTCAAATAAATATCAAAGAAGTACATACATGTTCCTGTCTCTTCAAATAATTATCAAAGAGGTACATATATGTTCCTCCATCTTTAAATAATTATCAAAGAGGTACATATATGTTCTTCCATCTTTAAATAATCATCAAAGAGGTACATACATGTTCCTCCATCTTTAAGTAATCATCAAAGAAGTACATACATATTTCTCCATCTTTAAATAATCTTCAAAGAGGTACAAACATGTTCCTCCATCCTTAAATAATCAAAGAGGTACATATACCTCCATCATTAAAGGAATATTTATTTAAAGTCCCACGTATTAAGCTATAATTGCAAAATTCCCAGGAAGCCATTATACAAAACAGACTAGAAACGTTGTGAATCTTCTGAATAAAGATTCTACCTCATTACGTAAAATCCTTAACCACCCACTAATTACAGAGTTTCTCTGAAGTCTCATGAACAAACAAACGATCGTCTTAATAATTGTGAGGACTTTGACACGTTCGAAGCGTCTCCACGTGTTTCAAGTTGAAGGTAAAAGGGTATCAAGTTTTTTCGTGCGGTTTCGAACAAACCGTCGCACGGTGTTGAATGTATACCGGACGCTGTCCACTCGGATAAAACATCCACCTTCTGAGGTTTTTCTTTGGCAAACATCTCAGCGGTGCACCCTTTTCTCTAGGTTTCTTGGAATAAGCGGAACAGGCTTTGGAAACGGGAAATTAAATCTGAAGGATTTTCAGGTTTAACAAAATTTTCATAGGATAGACCTTCAGAGTTGACATAATTTGAGGTCTTCAGAGCTTTGAAATTCAATGAAAGTTAAGATAATATGAGACGATCCCTCTGCTATTAAAATTGCTCTCAAAATTTTGTTAGAGTATTGCTAAATTCTGAAGTTTCCACATCCCAAAATTCTTAAATTTCAATATTTCAAATTTTTGAAATTACAGATTTAGAAATGTCTGAAAACTTCCTGAGCCTCAAGCTTGGGATGCAGATATTTTAACTAATAAAAATCTAATATAATTTGAAAATGCATTTCAGTCAAGAAAATTGTATATTACTGGAATGTAGTTCATTAAAGATTCTTCTACCGGGTACTGAATCATATTAATGCATTAGCGGCAACTCATTAATTAATTACACGTAATTACATAGCTAAAATACTGTTATATGATTTGCTGCATGCCCGGCAATAATTGTAGCGTAACTAATTTTACTTGAACTTCAATCTAATTTAATTACACAGTTAGATCAAAAAGAAATCTATCGAATTGTTATTCAAAAAGTCTGTAAATTATTTAACAATTAGATGATTTAAAATGAAGACACAGTAAAAGGTCAACAATTATTTAATTTGTTAAAATGAATCGAAAAATATTTGTTATTAACACTTGAAAAGTTATAAAGAACTTAAAGAACTTGAAAAGTTATAAAGAACTTAAAGAACGTGAAAAGTTATAAAGAACTTAAAGAACGTGAAAAGTTATAAAGACATGAAAAAATAAAGTTTGTTATAAAAGTTCATACGACTATATCTCCAGAAGGTTTTATAATCTCGAAATTAATGGCCGACGTGGATTCGCCGAACACGGTCGCCATTTAATTTCGTTAATTACCTTCAAGATCACGAATTAAAAACGACCGCCATCAGCTGCCACTCATTACGATCTTCAAACTGTTGTTGCCTACACGTAGCCCATATACATGCATATGTGTACACATATACATTGTAACATGCATGCGTTTTAATTGATATGACGTCATGTAGAGGCGCCGAAAATTCTGCTTTCCACGATTTGTTAACCGTTTAAAACCGGGCGAATTATGTGCACCGTTATTTTGATCAAAAAATATGGCTATCTTATGGCGTTCACAAGATGTTCCGTAATCGATTTTCAACGATTTATGAAGGTTTTATGAAGGTTTAAAGTACATCTTTCAGAAATATTAATCTACCAATTAAGGTTGTCTTAACATGATGGATCGTGAGAGAAAATCAAGCATGTTTGAACGAGAAATTCCCTCGAATTCACGAAATCTTAATGGATGGGGGCATCGCCCGTATACGAAAATCTAATACACACACGTGCATGAAGGTTTTCAATTTCTTGCTTCACAATTTTGTTTTTGGGAATATTTTGG